GCCACATGATTTTCCATTCCCATTTTTGTAGCTGTGGTGGGAAAAAAAGAGCTCTGGAATGTGCAGCCAAGGTCCTGATAATGCATATGGAAAGGCATAGAAAGGATAATTGAATTATTTTTTTTCTAACTAAAACTGGGGGTTCATCTGTGGGTTGCCCATATCTCAAGTGATTTCTGCTCCCACCCCACACACAATGTAGGGGAACAACATGGGGGCAGCTCAGAGTCACCACGTGGTGCTTCTGGACCCCAAAACTCTTCCCACACCATCTGGAAAAACATCTCTGGGAGTGATGATCCATAATCCATGTGGAATCCCACAGAGGATGTGCAAGCAAATAAACCACTGATGGGAAAAAGCAGCCCCTGGGTACTGAGGAGGCACTTGAAGATCTTGGAGGCTTTTTCCAACTTTCAAGGTTCTGTGATCTCACAGTGCTCTTCAAAATGTCTGTTTAATGCAGAGCCAGGCCTCAAACACATGGTGCTGCTCCTTGTGTAACAAACCACTGAGACCTTTCATGAATGAATTTGTCAAGGCACTCCCATCATGTGTTTTTTCCACCCCAATTCATTTTTCCCTGGACTCCCTCTGAATCTGAAATCTGCCTGGGGCTTCAAATGGAAGCCTGAAAAGAACCCAGCCGAGAAATTTCTCTCCTTTCCCCAAAACATGAAATTTTCCCTCAAACTTTTGCATTCTTAGATCCTGGAACTGAGATATTTCCAGCCCTGTCTTCTATTCCTGTAACATAGCAAGGAGTGATATTTTTCCACACTGAAAAGCTATTTTAGGTCATTCTTCACAGTTACTTTTCTATTTTACATTAATTTAAATTTTTACAGTCATATTTTCCCCACAGGCATCTGCATTATATCTTGGGAGGAAAGAAATGAAAAAAAAAATAACCTTCTTTAAAGGACTTCAGATATTTTTAAAGTGTTTTTTAAGTGTTGTATGGGGTATATAAAAGATAATACAAACTGAATTATTTATTAGAAGTGTTTGTGCATTTATGTTCACAGAATGGTTTGGGTTGGAAGGGACTTTAAAAGTTCATTTTGTTCCATGGCAGGGACACCTTTAACTGTCCAGGGTGCTCCAAGCCCTGCCCAGCCTGGCATTGGGCACTGCCAGGGATCCAGGGGCACCCACAGCTTCTCTGGGCACCTGTGCCAGGGCTGCCCACCCTCACAGGGAAGGATTTCTTCAGAATTTGTTCCTCTGGCACACAAACATTTCTGTATCAGGTATTGGAGCAGAGGCTGCCCAAAGCCTGCAGCTGGGGTTTGTGGATTCACTGCTGTCAACGCCTCAAACCTCAGAACCTACAACCCTTCTGAGCTGTGTCCCACCCATTCCACCTTCCCTGCATGGGAATCCACGGCCACCAAACCCTCCAAATATTCACAAATAAACACCCCTGAGTCCTTCTGCCCCTAAAGCCACCTGAGCTGCTGCATTTCCAGACCAACGGCAGCACTTTTACCCTTAATCCTGCCCAGAGCCCAGCAGAGGAGGCAGCACAGAACTCCTCCACAACCCAAAAAAGGGAANTATGAAAATACAAGTAAGGCCTGCAAACTTGTATTTCATTTATAAATACCAATTTAAATCCCAATATAAATTTAATTTATAAATTGATATAAATATAACTAAATTGATATAAATTTACCAATATGAATTTAATTTATAAATATCAATTGGTATATATATATTGGTATATATATCAATTGGTATATAAATTTAATTTATAAATATCAATTGGTATATATATCAATTGGTATATATAATTGGTATATATATATATATATACATATATGAAAATACAAGTAAGGCCTGCAAACTTGTATTTCATTTATAAATAGCAATTTAAATCCCGATATAAATTTAATTTATAAATTGGTATAAATAGAAATAAATTGTTATAAATTTACCAATATAAATTTAATTTATAGATACCAATTGATATACATACATATATATATATATGAAAATACAAGTAAGGCCTGTAAACTCGTATTTCATTTATAAATACCAATTTAAATCCCAATATAAATTTAATTTATAAATTGGTATAAATATAAATAAATTTGTATAAATTTACCAATATAAATTTAATTTATAAATATCAATTGGGATATATATATATATATATATGTATGAAAATACAAGTATGGCCTGCAAACTCGTATTTCATTTATAAATACCAATTTAAATCCCAATATAAATTTAATTTATGAATTGGTATAAATATAAATGAATTGGTATAAATTTACCAATATAAATTGAATTTATAGCTACCAATTGATAGTATCAGTGTGTTAATCTAAGCATTGCTGATAGGTCACTGCAAGGTCCATGCCACACCCTTAATTCACTTTGTTTCTCCACTGGTCCCAGACATCACAAATGAGTTTTTTGCTGAGCAGAGAAGCTGAGGATGGTGCAGGAGGGGAGGGGGAGCTGCCAATGCTCTGCTCTGAGGCCAGGTCTTACCTGTGAGAGCCCAGGGGACGATGCATGTCCCGGTGGCGTTGCAGCAAGGTTTGGGTGTCCCTTATTTATTTCATGTGCAGTGTAAGGGGATGGGGCAGGAGGACCCGGTTGTCTTGCTACTTGTGTTACCTGTGTGGAGATAAACTGTTAGTAAAACATTACATTAGTAATCAGTCTGCAGAGACTCCGTTGTACATATCTAGAGAGACAAAATAATATTTATTTGTCCAAGTGAAGCACTGCACAAGTTATTTAACTGTTTATGGGATTCAGGAAAATGAATCACTGCAGTCACTCGTGGAAATGTGTGGAATCCCTCTGCCTTTAAGCCTGGAACCTTTATTCCCTCCATGAGAAGCCATATAAAAAAATATTGGGATTTTGCAAGGAGATTGTCTTGGTTTGATACACATTACCAGCAACAAAATAAGGGAGAAATTTTCATATTCCCCTCCAAAAAAGGAAAAATAAATGACTGCAAAGAGGCCATGGTATCTGCAGGGCTTGCCACAAGCAAAGACTCAAACAGCAAAGCAAATCTTGCATATGTTTATCTCCTTTCCCAACTTCTATTAAAAATGCTCAACAAAACACATTAAGCAAAGTATTAGAAAAATGTTCTTATGGCACACAAATATTTATCTCACTTTACTATCTCCATTATAGAATTGTTGTAAATATATTTTAGAGTGGCTACAGTGAGAAAAAAGGGGAATCAAAGGAAAAAAAGAGTCACACAACTGTTGGGTGACACCTCCAGCTGTTCAACACAATTAAATTTTGGCCTAGTGGGTTAAAATGCACACTACTGAAATTCAGCATTTGCTTCTCACTGGCCTTTTCTCATTTATTTGTTTGCTGAAAAGCACCACTTAACAATGGAATGGTTTGGGTTGCAAAGGACCTTAAATCCATCCAGTGCCACCCGTGGCATGGCAGGGACACCTCCCAGTGTCCCAGGCTGCTCCCAGCCCTGCCCAGCCTGGCCTGGGCACTGCCAGGGATCCAGGGGCACCCTCACAGGGGAGGATTTATCCAATATCCCATCTAACACTGCCCAGTGTGAGCTGAAGGCACCTGAAGCCCACACAGGTCACTGGCACTGCACAGCCCAATGTGTGCATGAATGTCCCCAGCAGGGTGAAGAAGGCAAAAGGAAATTCCTGGCTCTTTTCATGAGTATTAGCTCCAAGAGAGCAGAAGTCACAGAGTTCACCACTTAAGTGCTTTTTCCAAGTCACTTTATTGCACCCAGAGCGTCATTGCAGCTCCTAAAGCACCACAGCAGCTGCGCCAGCCCCGAAATCCCAGGAAATCACAACACAACATGCAACAGCTCCAGGGCTTGGGAAGGGGCCAGGAGCCTTCACTGAGGGAAGATTTACAGCCCCTGAGTGCTCATCAGAGGAAAGGGTGGGTCAGGCACAGAACCTCATCCTGTGTCCCCAACTGGATCCTTCCCTTTGCCAGGGATGAATCATCTCTTTTTCGGGCTGATCTCTCTTGGCAGGTGTGCGCACGCAGCCCCGGCTGGAGCAGAGCCAGCCTCACACACAGCTCCAGAAAACTTTCCACAGCCCATCCCTGAGAAAATGAAAGTCTGTCCCATGACTCCTGTGTCAACCCTGAGAGAGCTGGCGTGTCAGTCATGCAGCACCCGGTGCTGGGGAGGGACTCTGGGCTGGGATGGAAATCAAATCATGCAGCCAGGAGGGGGAGGAAGCACAGGCAACCCAAAACACAAGGAAATAATGGGAAATAATTCCTATAAACAGCCTCAGAGGCAGGCTGTGCCCCTGCTCCTCACCATTCTCCTCCAATGGCACTTCTTGGGGGAAACTTTGGTTTTTTTTGGTTATAGAGATTATTTTGTGACAGCTGTGGGACTTCAAGCACTGTGAGTTTTCACCTCCCTGCTCTCAGCTGTCCAAAATCCTCTGACCCAACAGCAGCCAAGCCCACACAGGGCTTTGCCAATGGGGACAGGAGCACTACCAATACCCCAGGTCACTGTGAGCACTCAGCAGTTCTCCTCCTCCTCCTCCTCAGAAATTACAACATGCAAATAGAATTGTGGAATAGAATCCCAGAATCACCAAGGTTGGAAAGCCCTCCAATATCTAATCCAATCTAGTTCAACCATAAACCCAGCACTGCCAGGCCCACCCCTAAACCACATTCCCAAGTGCCAAATCCCCACATCTGAACACTTCCAGGGGTGGTGACTCCAGTGGGGAAAATACCTAAGCTGGAGGTTACTGAAAGACATCAAGAAATGCTCTCGTGATTGGATCTGAAACCTGGAAGCTGAAATCTGAAAATCTGAAAAGCTGAACTGAGAGGAAAACTGCAGCTGCTTGAACGAGTCCATGAGATGCCCTCATGCAGGGCAGCAGACACATGACAGACACAGGTCTGGACCTACTAAAATTGGCTCGAAAGCCTAATGAAGGCAGCAGAACAATTATAAAATTGCACCAGTTTGATAGTTTGGCAACAGCTCACTTGGAGAGTATCCCATAGGAGCCTACCACTGATTTTCCAGGATAAGTTTAGCCAAGTCTAGCTCAGTGCACCCAAACCAAGGACTGGTGTTTGTTCCAGAAGGAAAAGCGCAGAGAGACTTTCTCAGCAGCTACAGCAATGTTGGTATTTTCACACCTTCCTCTTCCTACAACAAAATATTTAAAATAAACTGAATTTTAAGACACTGATTTTAATGTAAACAGGTAGTAATGGAAGACAAACTTGCTGAATTTGTGTGTTTTCTTCAGTAATTTTTAACAAAGGTAAAAGGTAGGGACTGTCTAAGCTCATCACTCCTGGGGTATCTGCCCCCATAGAGCTCAGGGTGTGGTTTGCTGTTTCTTAACGGTCTGAGATTACTATGGAAGCAAATATCCTCCTTAAATCTATAGGTTAAGTTATTCTCCTAAAAATGGATGTTCAAAATTACATATTAATTTGTTAGGGCATCACCTTCTATTTTCCCTGAGTAGCAAGAGCTAATTTTAGTTTTCCAGAAGCCTTAATCCTGTATTTTAAAGGAAAAGGGTAATGAAATACAAAATAAAAAACTCAGTCTGGAATTCCTCTTTTCTTTCTGAGCTCTTTTACACCTTTTGGGTTTAGCATCTCATACAAGTTTGGGATAACTCTTCACCCTGGTTTCCCTGTGGCTGCCCCATCTGTGAAGTGTCCCAGGCCAGGTTGGACAGGGCTTGGAGCAGCCTGGGATAACTGAGGGTGTCCCTGCCATGGCAGAGTGGCACTGGAGGGGCTTTAAGGACCTTTCCAACCCAAACCATTCCATGATTCCAGGCAGGAGCAGGATGAGGCACTGAGCTTCCCTCCTGCACATCCCACAGCCTCGGCCTCCTGACCCAGATCCCTCCTTTGAGCACAGGGAGGCTGGAGCAGCTAATCCCCCCTAATCCCCTTTCTACAGGATTCCCTTCACTGCAGGAAGATCCCTTCAAAGGACATGAACCATGGAACCTCTGCTGGCTGTGAAACACTTGGGGGGACCAAGGGGTGCCCCAGGACAGAAACAACCAAACACCCCAAGAGCCAACGGGAGTCAACCCTCAGTCCTTGAAAATCTGGGACAAGGAGTGTCAGGGGTAGGACACTTGGGACAGACGGACACGAGAGATCTCTGCAGCCAGGGCTGGAACTTGGGGTTCATTGCACAGGGCCAAGTGCAGGGACCTGCTGGGAGCTGCCAAACACAGCTGGAGCAGGGCTGGGAGAGGAGAGGGGGAGAGAGGATGAGAGGGTAAGAGAGCAAAAGCATACGAGAGTTCCCATTCCAATACCATAAATCTTCTGTGTTGAATATTCTAATTCTCACTAACCAGTCTAGTACAATATACAAATCCTACAGCATTTACATACAGCCTATAAGAATCATTACATCACCATAGTGTGCTACATTTTAAACCCTAAAAACTCCTCTTTGGGCCCTTCTGCCAAACTGCAGGGTCTGCTCTGACCCTTGGGCCTGTCTGCAAGCAGAGGGTGTTGTTCCATCAAAAGGGGATCACCTTCAGCAGCCACACCATTGTTTTCTAATTGTTCAATAACTAAGGGATCTCGGAGCTTGCTTTCATTTCAATCTCATTTATAGTTTCTATATTCTCAAAATTTTTTTCCAGGCAATCATATTTATAAGGCTTTCCTGTTTCATCTTCCCCAACAGCCCCACTGCCTTCTCTGTCCCCAGCTGGAGTGAGCTGGGCACCCTGGCAGGACAGGACCCTGAGCACAGGCACTAATGGATGCCTTCAATGAGTGCTGGGCCCTGCCCCAGGCTGCACCTGCCAGGTGACTTCTCCCCACACCAACACACCTTGTGTTGTTAACACTCACTCCCAACCAGTTCTCATCCACAGGTCATTCCCAGAAGCACAGAATGGTTTGGGTTGGAAGGGACTTGAACTCATCCCATTATTCCATGGGCAGGAGCACCTTCCACTGGAGGCTGCTCCTCAGCTCATTAGAGTTTATCCCAGAGTGGTTCTGGTCCAAGCTTCAGCACTTCCAATCACAACGTGCTACCAAAGCAGTTACAAACCTCCACCACAACCTGCCAAAACCAGTTATTTGTGCAAAGACAGGATGTCCATGAGCACCATTATTCTTCTTATCCAGTTCCTTGTGCTGAATCTGAAGAGCATTTCTGCTTCTGCTCCTTAACCTCATTTCCCACAGATCCAGCCCCATTCCCCTGGGCACAGGGCAGGGGTGCCTGCTGGGATTTACACTCACCTTTTGTGCAGTTCCCTTCCTGTTAGAGGTCTACACCTTTCCAAAAAACTCTCCTGAATATATTTCTTTGAAATAATTTACAACAAAATCAGAATTTCATTCTTATGCCCCTTCTAAACTCTGCAGGTTTTGGATCTTTCAGAGGCCACACAAGTAACCACCCTCATTTCTTGCAGTGTGGAGGATTTGGAAAAAGCAGCCAAGAAGCAGTTTACAGACAACCCCCAAACCTTTATGTCCAAAAGCAGCTCTGCAATAGAGCATTCTCCATTATTGATGAGGGAAAATTATTATTACAAGGTTAGTTCATGGAAATAATTATTTCCAAATGTGGTTTGCTTTCATATCATTTTACTGCTGGATTTATTTATTAAAAAACCCAAACCAACAACCCATTCAGTATAACATGTCACAGTAAATAAATAAAGATGACTTATGATGAACTTAGGTGGGTTTGGTTTTAATACCAGCATGATTTCCTTGATAATGAGATTCTACCAAAGCCTTGTTGTGAAGTTTGAGCATCTCCAAGTTCTCACACAAACTTCATCCCACTTGG